GCCAAGAGACGACTTGTCGGACTTGGAGTCTTTGGCTACGCCTCCTGACCTTGACACCTTTGAGCCACCGCACGTCACTTTGGACCAGCAAGCACAGGGCCTACCACGGTCCGCAACGGAAGCAGCTTTGCCGCAACCTGCGGCTACACGGCCTCGACTTGAGGAGGCGTCTGCTTCTTCTCCGACAAAGGGTACGTCGGAGACTTTGCCTGTTGGGACAAGCAAGGTGCAGAGAATGGCCAGCGTAACTTTTGCGAAGACCAAGAAGCGTTTTCGCGTGTGTGACTTTCGTGTCTCTGCTGTGACAACAAAGCAGGACCTTGAAGTACCGGTGTCGGTTAATCAAGATGAGAAAGAACTTTTGTTGATGAAGACACTTGAGAATCCGCACATTTGGTACCAGACCGAGTTCACACGTGAGGAAGCTGCAGGCATGACAAAAGAGATGAAATCGATGCGTGACTTTGACGTGTTCGACGAAGTCTCAGTTGAGTCGGTCTCGGAGGAGACTTTGCGGTCTGCAATTTCCACGAAGTGGGTTAAAGTGCGCAAGCCTGACGGGACTGTGCGCTGTAGGATTGTTGGGCGAGGTTACACTCAACTTGTGGAAGACAAGGATGAGACTTACGCCTCGACCCCGTCCTTGATCACACTTCGGCTGTTGTTTGTTGACTTTGGCTGTTGCGAAGGGATGGCACATCTCGATCGGAGACATTTCGACGGCATTTCTTCATGCCCTGGTCGACGGTGACTTTTATGTCATTCCTCCTCTGGAATTCTATCCAGAGGGCCGCACTTTGTGGAAGCTCAAGAAAGCCCTTTACGGACTTAAGCACAGCCCTAAGCTTTGGCAGCAGCACTTTGCATCTGTCATGGAGAAGAACGGCTTTCGACGCATGAAGTCGGACCCGAACCTTTATGTACATGACAGCAAGCAACTTTACGTTCTGGCGTATGTGGATGACTTGATGTTTTTCGGTTCGCGGGCTGATGTTTCGACTTTGATCCGGGATCTTCAGAAGGACTTGTTGCTTAAGGTGGTCAGAGTTCGTCGTTTCTAGGCCGCAACCTGAAGCGCACCTCCACTTTCATCTCTGTAGGAATGAGCCCATCCTACATTGATACGATGCTAGAGCTTTACGGTTTGAAACAGTGCCGGCAGGCACTTGCGCCAGGAACAGATGCTTTGAGGAAGCAGCTCGACTGTGAACCTTTGGACCCTGAGGATCACAAGCGCTACCGGCGCGCTGTGGGCCAACTTTTGTGGCTTTCCAGTGTGCGCCCTGACATCATGTATGCTGTCAAGGAGTTGAGCCGAGGACTTTCTGCACCGACCACAGAACACGAAACAAAGGTCAAGCATCTTTTGAAGTACCTGGCAGGAACAAAGCACTTTGAGCAGAAACTGCAACCAACCCTCTCACTTTCACCGCAGCACAAAGCAATAGACATCAACATTTTTGTTGACAGCGATTGGGCAGGATGCCACGACACCAGACGCTCCACTTCAGGAGTTTCCCTCTGTGTGCTCGGGGCGAATATACTTTCGCACAGCAGGACCCAGGCCACTGTGGCCCTCTCGAGTGGAGAGGCAGAACTTTATGCTATAGGCTCTGGTACTGCTGACGCTCTTTTTGTGAGGTCTTTGGTGGAAGAGAGCAAGATCTTTCAGAAGGCTAACCTTTGTGTTTTTACGGACAGCAACGTTGGCAAAAGTATTGCCTCACGTTTCGGCGCCAGCCGCAAGACGAAGCATGTAGAGTTACGATATCTTTATGTGCAAGAACTTGTTGCTTCTGGTATGGTTAGGATTAAGAAAGTTCTTGGTACTTTGAACCCAGCAGATATCCTTACGAAGTACATCGCGAAGGATACTTTGCACCGCCATCTTCCTACTTTCGGGTTTGAGGTTTAGCCACCCCATCTCGGGTTGGACTTTGCCACTCATCATCTTCCCCAGAAGAACCCAGATGAGAGAGAAGAAGACTTTGAGAGCTGAGAGAATCACGTTCTTGCGGACATGTACTTTTCATGCTTGTGCGGACATGTACTTTTGCGGACATGTACTTTTGCTTGCTTGTGCAGTCTCGACATGTCTTCGACTTTCGCTCGATTTAGGAACTTTCAGTTTTCCGGAACCAACTTTGAAGGTGACCTTTCTGTTTTCCGTTTTCTCCGTTCCGAAAAGGAAGAAACTTTTACCGTGAAACCTTGATGGTGGATGACTTTTCCGATGATGGTTTTAAGGTGCAACGGCACCACTTTTAATGTACATATGTAAGCTCACTTGACTTTCCCGTTCAGGGTGTTCGGGTTTTGTCGTGGGTTTTGGTTTTAACTTTGCGCCTTTTCGCCGCAACCGTTTTCACTTTACTTCGGTTTTTCGCTCGCTGCGCATGCCATGGCTGTCTGACTTTGTGTTGCACTGGCAACTTTCTGCCTCAGTGCATGAGACTTTGCGTAATGGCGCAACAGAACTTTGCGCAAGAGCCGCCTCTCACGGACGGTGAGGTTCGACTTTTGCGACTTTTGTTGCAAAGAGCGTCTGATCCCCAGTTCGACTTTGGGTTTGGACAGCGGGGCAGTGAACTTTGCTCCACACCCGCCTCTGTGAGCAGGAGGCCACTTTTGGACCGGAGTGACTTTGAGAACTCTGGTGTGCCATTGCCATCGCCAGTTTTCCACCCCACGGACTTTGTCTGGGTGGTACTTCTGGCCCTTTTGGCACTTTGGGGCCTTACTAATTTGGCCATCTTTGTGGCCCCCGAGATCGTGAACTTTGGCGGTTTCCTTCGGAGACTTTTCCGCCAACTTTTGAGAAGACTTTTCGGTCGTGGGCGTGACCCGCAGCCGTGATGGCGCCAAAGACTTTGAGGCCGCCTGCCACTTTGCCGCCATCGATTGAGCGGCCACGGCCTGGCCATGGTTTTGGTCAGGGGACTTTTGTCCCTGACTTTTCGAACTTTGGCTTTTGGGGCACTTTGCAGCTCATGCTTGAGATGCTTTTTGGTGGCCGCCAGATGGAGCAGTTGTTTCGCCCTGGGACAACTTTTGACAACAACTTTGTCCTGGGAAAGTCGATACTTTTCCCTGGGTTGAGCCCGGTGTCGCCGAGCATGACGGCACCCGAACTTTACATGTTGATGCGCAGTCAACTTTTCTGGGTGTTCCATGTGAGTCCGGGGAGCACTTTGCCAGGCGATCCTTCGGCATGGTCGCCCTTCATATTATATCTTACTTTGCCAATGAGCGTTTTGGATCGAGCCTTGACCGCTGCCCGCCAGAGTGGAACTTTTACAGTATCTTTTCTACACTTTCCAGCTGTCGATTTCTCAGATGCAGGGAGTGACTTTTCCTTTTGCTGCAAATGAAGAAATCGCTACGTTTGGCTTCCGACCAACTCAACATTGGTTGGCAGTCAACTTTGGAAGTGGACAGGCCAGGATTTGGAACAGGAGGTACGTGGACTTTCTGGTGAAAGTCGCGACTTTGCAGATCCCAATGCAGCCTACTTTTCTGACTTTCTGCGTGGTGAGACACTTTGGCCAGGCACCGTACACTTTGGTCGGCGATCTCAATCGCTACTTTGATGGTACATATGGTGTGCCGTGTCGTCACTTTCGACTGATGCACCTGCCGATCCTCCCAGAGGTGTACCAACTTTGTGAGGATATGCCCGAGGGCTGGGTGCCCCTCGCTGGCGCTACGCCGTCAACTTTGACGCGCCCTGCGAGGTTGTGAAGGCCACTTTTCGCCTTTTGAGGTTGGGCCAACAGCACACTTTTCGACGTCTTTTGACGCTTGGTGCTACTTTGGTTGCTGCACTTAAATGGGCCAACCACTTTTGGGCCACGCTGCACTTTGATGTGCCGTGCGCAGTCACGACACTTTGCACCACGAGCACTACGAACGCTTTCTTTTACAAGTCAACTTTTGAGGTTGTAGATAGGAGACCTCGTTGCAACTTTCTTCGAGCAGCTGCTTTGCAAAACTTTGGCCGTGAGCTCACACATGTACATGTACACATTTACGTGTTATTGTACTTTACGAGAATAAAGTACGTAACTTTAGTCTCGAGGAGGCGTGTGAAAATAACACGTCCCCACTTTCTCCCAGACCTACGACTTTGCCAACCATCTGTTGGCTCAAGACCACTTTGCCCTACGAGAAAAGGCGCTGCTGAACTTCAGGGTTACTTTGGTCTAAGTCGTGTGAGCTTGTGCACGGAATTACTTTAGGGTAGTTTGGTGCGCATTCTGGACTAGTGTACTTTCGCATCGTGAGGTCGTGAGGTCGTGAGGTAGTGATAAGGAATTTCAGTATTTCAATGATTTTTCAAAATTTAATTGGCGGGGCTGGGTATGAAAATCTTCAAAATCTTTAACAAGTTAAATGGGCCGAGGGCTGGAGGCTGGGCTGGAGTGGCATGCTATACAAAAAGCCTATCGCCAAATAGTAGGTCTTTCTTACAGATATATAGAGTTTTGTATGTTCCCCACATCACCGCGTGGGGTTCTTATTCTTTGGGGCTCTCCCACTCCGCCTCCTCCTCCTCCTCCTCCCCCTCCTCCTCCCGTCCTCCTCCTCTGCACTCACGCACTGTCATCACTGTCACTCATCGTGGCACTCACTTACTCGCTCACACACTTACTCAATCACACACACACACACACACACCCGCACACACACACACACACACTGTCACAAACTTAGTCACACGCTTTCTCGCATCACACACACACAACACGTACCTCAATCACAACGTGTACTTCACGTACCTCACACACGCAGGGGCGCACACTCTCCGGAAGAAATTACGAATAGTTCATCTTCGCATGTGGGTTATCCGGTCCTTACTTTTCGTTGACCAAGTAACTATATATGCGCAAGTGTACGCTTACTGGCTTATGTGCATGTGAGTAATTGTGTGTGTGTGTGTGTGTGTGTGTGTGTGTGTCTGTGTCTGCTTGGGCATCGGCTCGGCCGTGCAAAAATGGCAGGTGCTTCCTCGACGCCGGCGTTTCCCGACGAGAGAAGTTCTGTCGGTTCCGCACTTCCGAGCGTGTTCAACGCGAGCGGCTCCGCAAGCGGTCCGACTGTGGTGGCTCCTAAAGCAGGTCTCGCCGCTCCCAAACCTCGTGGTCCTAGCCACACCGTTGTCCCTCCCAAAGCACCGGGGCCATTGAACTTGGCAGAGGCCGGGGAGCAAGAGCGAGAGAAAGAGAGAAAGCTTGCTAGCTGCTAGAAAAGAGGGCGAGAAGGACTCGTCTTCTGTGGGCCCCGCCTGGCTCGAGGCAGCCGCCAAAGCTGCGGCTGCGCTGATGGCCAAGGAGGCACCGAGCGGTGGCCCTGGCGGCTTTGGCCCGGCGGCAGTGGGGGCAGTGCTCGGGCCACCGTTTGGGCCTGGCCGGGTGGCGCCCCGCGGGGGCCTCCCGCTGGGGCTCAGACCTAGACCCGAGAAGGAGGTTGAACCGCCCAGCTTCGAGATTGGCTCGGACGTCCAAGTTCTGAGCCAGGCCAGAAGCAAAAGTCCGAGCCGATCGCAGGTCGCAAGTAGCAGCTGTAGCAAGTGTCACATTACAAGTGCTCTTAGTCTTTGCGCTCTTTTTGCAGAGGGCCAGTGGAAGATCGGCACCGTGCTGGCCGAGACGGCGACGGGCTTCTTGGTGCTCACGGACATGGAGCAGCTGGAGGTACCGGCTGCGGAGGTGCGGAGACCCTTCTCGCTCTCTACTCCCACAGCCCGGGCCCCAGTGAGAAGTGCGTGAATAGAAGAGAGAGGAGCAGTCGGCCGAGGTGAAATCACCAGGGCCAGGACTTCTAGCACCTGCCTTGGACACACACGCGCAGACACACATACACACACACACACACTCTCTCTCTCTCTCTCTCTCTCTCTCTCTCTCTCTCTCTCGGTCTCTGTCTTCTTCCATCCGATTTCATCTCTTGCATAGGCCCCGCGGACCCCCGGGCCTGCTGGGCTCGGAGTGCCCCTGCGGGCACCCCTCAGTCCCTTCGTGAGCCCTCGGCCTTCGGCCGCTTGACAAAAGCAGAGATGAGAAGGGTCTGCGCTCCGCTCCTGCACACCTGCATATGCAAAGCCATTTTTATTGTGCCATCTCAGGCAGGAGCCCTGCGACCGAGCTTCGCTCCAGAGGTGGCCCCAGCCTGTGCACCCCGCCCGGCGCACAGAGGGGCTGTCTGGTGCTCTGTGTGCTGAGGCGATCCGGCCGAATCTCCCCTTGCGGCCCGCACGGAGCTTACAGCAGACTCCGCAGTGCCTCCGCAGCGTGCCGTCAACTCCGTCTGCCACTCCCCTCGCAGGCGTCGTCTCGGCCTCGCCCGGGCCCGCCGGGCTTTTGAGCCACGGCCGGCGGGTCTTGCGGCGAGTGGCGGTTCGCAGCGCCAGTCCGAAGACTCCTGCGAGAAAGCCGTTTAAAGCGTTGAGCTCTCTGATGGCCGCACCTGCAGATTTTCGCGGCTGTAGGTCAGGACACGGCCTGTTAGAGCTCGGTGCGTTTGAGCACAAGTCCTGACTCGTGTTGTCGAGCATCGCTGTAGATTCCCTTTCTTCACAAGGCCTTGGATGCATTGCCTTCGCGGGCACGGTGGGCGGGGCGGCGGGGCGGCGGGGCGAGCCCGACTGCGGCCTGCTTGTGGGCGGCCCTGGGCCCTGGGCCGGCAGGGGCTGATCTTTTCAGTACACTGGGACGTTTTCAAGGTGATCTTCTGTCAGCTTCCCTGGTGGTGCTAGTCGTGAGTCGCTGTCGTGGTGTTTGTGACGGTGGTTGTCCTGGTTGTCGTGGTCTTTCTGGTTTTCTGGTCGTGGTGGTCAGTGGGGTGGTCAGTGGTCCTTGTCTTTCACTGAAACGTTTCTTTTTTGTGTTGGGACAGCGAATCCTGGATATGCAGCAAGTCCGCCCCATTGCCCAGCTTCCTAATGGTCGGAAGTCTCGATGCACGAGGTGCTTCATTAGGTACTTGATCAGTTGTTTGACAGCTGGGGTATCGCGTCACCGATTGCGACCTGTTTAGATTGATAAGTGTTGATAAGTGTTCGAGTATGAATCGTGCAAGATGAGATGCGGAAAGTTTCGGTGGTTGCTTCCCAAGTTCATATCCAGCAAGTCCATGTGAGGTCCATGTGTCCTGTTACAACCAAGTAGCCAAGCATCTTCCAGAACTCGGTTGCGCCCAGCTGCTTTCGACTGCGATACATGGCGAATCGGGTTTGGTTTGCTGCTTGACGGCATGCTTCAATGGCGGAACCTACGCCTGGCACTTACACTCGGGACATTGTGCAGCGGGCATCCGACTCTGAAATCTAAATCAGCCTTCAGGCCTCAGAAGCCAAAGGTGCCACAATCCAGAGACAGGCTGCAATGGTTCCTGCTGTCGCGAATCGTGTTAGGAACTTTTGTGTCCCCATATCGTGCACCTGCAGGACACCGCCAAAGAGCCGACCGCATAGGGCGCGGACCTGGGCAAAACCTTGGCCGAGTGGCATCCATGCTTTGCAGCCTTGGCGGTTGTTTCCGGTATGAGAACTGGTGCAAACAAGGACGGTGCTGCGGTTGACGGACTCGTTGCTGCGAGTCAAAACGGTGTTGAAACCGCCAAGCCGACAACCCAGCCACGGCAGAGATCTTGACATGTACAATGCCGCTGCTTACCTTGACATCATAGGATGTTGCTGACGCCGCAGTTGTTGTTGCTGCTGGAGGTCAGGGCCAGATGAGCTTCCAAGCCCGAAGATCATCAAGAAAGGTCGATTGATTATCTAGGAATTCAACGAGTGAAGCGGATGTGCTTTGGGGAGGCACCCGAAGCCTGACGCCAAAGCGGCCGCAGGGACCATCGACTTTTGGCATGTCCAGCTGACGGGATTGTCGTGTGGTCATGAGGGGTAGACGAATCGTCTTAGAGTGGCAGGAGCCAGGAGAACGAGACGGTGGCCGGCTGGGTGGTGTCGGGCTAAGCAAGAGCCCGAAAAGAGTGCGAAGCTGACTCCGCGGCGACGGCCCAGTTAAGGAGCACGACACTCGCATCCGTCGCGCCATGCCCTTGAACCCAACCTCCAAACAACGGGAGGCTCAGCGATTCTCGTGTAGTGTTGCCATGTAATGTGCCATGTAATGTGCCATGTAATGTGCCATGGGGGCCATGCCCTGGCTCTGCAGGATGGGAAAGACGGGTGCTCAGCAGTCCAGGGCCAGGGCTCCCTGCGTGTGTCCTTCACTGCATTCCAGCTCTACGCTCTACATGACATGGCCTGATAGGGCAGGGGTAGGGAGGGGTCAAGTGTTCCACTTCGGCTTCAGGCGAACCTGGCTGTCCACCCTGCCCTCGAAGCAGCTCGCGCAAAGGGCAAACGGTTCCGAGGCGTGAAGAGGCTCCAATGCTTGCAGCCACTTGCAACTAGCCCCGTCTTCGCGGATTTAGTTTCATGAGCCACTGTGTGAATCTGTATGGAGAGACTCTCTTGTCCTCCATGTTGGTAGCACGGATGCTAGCAAGGCTTGAATGTTCGACCAGACGATGTTCGCGCCGCTTTCATTACTCTTTGTGCGTGTGTGTGTGTGTGTGTGTGTGTGTTGTCTTCTGGTGCAGCCGGCACCATCAAAGCTTGCACTTGTGTCTGAAGAAGGCAGTTTGCCACGTTGCAGGTATGCCGGAATCGGGGCTCAAGCCTCCTCTGTGGACCAGGCCCGGGGGAAGCCATGGAAATTAGACTTGTCATGCTGCAATGCTCCCGCTGCCCCGGGCAGCGGGCTGGCAAGACCTAAATAGCATCTTTGCTGCAGTTGCGATGTGCGTTTGAAGTGGAGGGAGGGAGAGGGGGAGGCGTTGCCCCTGCGCACCTGCAGAGTAGACTGGTGCCAGGGGCCCCTTCTCTTTTCCTTTGCAGAGGAGATGGTGGAGGTTGGTATCAAGGAAATGTGCCTGAACGAGAACAAATGTGCCCAAACGAAAAACTTGGCGGCATCTGCGGGTGGAGTGGAAGGGATGCTGCCCTGACAGAAGGCGACTAAGTGTCAAGCTCTATAGACGTTTTGAGAAAACTTGGGAATGCCACTGACCGCAGCGCCTGCTATGCTATCGCGAAAATACCCCAAAACTCCCAACAGCTTTTGCGAACTTTCTGGAGGCGAGCACAAGCGCAAGACAGATGTCTAGGACTAGGAACTTGGAGATGTTACTGAAGTTCTTCAGTAAAGGGGTTTGCGATATCAAGGTATCCGTCGCACGTTTGATAGTCAGTCGGTTTACACTTGGAGGGGCTTCCTTCGAGCTACAGAATCGTTCACTCGCTCCGAAATCCAGCTTGCAGCTGGCTTCCGTGCTTGAGCTGTTCTCTTTGATTACATGCTGTCTTGTATGTAGAACTCGAAATCGGTCCGGCCGGTCCAGCGCATCTCCGATCCGAGAAAAGCCAATCAGAAGGGACTGTTTGAGCTGCTGCGGAGCTGGTGCGAGTGCAGAGCACCCGGGACCCGCTCCCTTGAGTCGCAGTCCTTCTCCAGATCGCAACGGGGGGGTCCGGTAGTTCGGTGCCCGGGCCCGGGCCCCGCCGTACGGACAGATCGCAGCAGACGCAGACGCAGGTGATCTTTGGCCGCGACATGGATTTTAGTGGAGAAGGAGACGGCGCAGATCTTGCAGACCCTGCCTCAGGGACCCACCCGTCAGCTGTTTCGAAGTGCACACCGACGCTCAGGAGTACGACGGCCGTGCCGGTATTTCCTCTCAGTCCGTGCCACGTGCAGGCTGGCTAGGCTTAGAGCGGCAGCCGTGGATTAGATTCATGCGCGGCGAAACAGGGGTATTAATAATTCCACCCACTCATGCTTGGACAGGTGGTGTGAAGAAGGTAGATGCTCCGAAAGGGGCATGGATCAGCATCGGCAGGTGTTCCGAGGTGCGAAAAGACCTTGTTTCCCCGCTGATTCCGCGACGGCACGGACTGTCAAACAATGCAGGAGTCCGGGAAGATTTGGTCACCAGGTGGCTGCCGTCATTCACCCGGTAACTCGAACACCACAGGCATCAGTGTAGTGAGTCATAGGCTGATGACGACATCGACGGCTTATGCGTATGGTCAGGCCCATTATCTCCCAATCAAAGCCATGGTGTTGCCGAGGCTGGCATGCAAATTCTCATTGAGATGTCCCCGAATTCTGTTTAGTGCTATGTGCCCTGAGAGGTTCAGTGATTCAGGGTTGCAGTGGTAAGTTTTGGTGCGGGGTGTAGGAGCATGCCGCGGGCAGTTTCGGGGAAAGCCTGTTTCAGTTTCGGTTCTATGCTGGCTCGGTGTGCAAGAAATACTGCTGATCCTGGCTGCAGAAGCCAGATCTCCCACGCAACGCCACAGCACCAACCTTCACGAGTGTGCCATGTGCAGCGTTCTTGGCCTCCGCGACCTCACTGGCAAGCCCTGAATCGGTTCAGTAGGCGATCACACTTCCAAAACCAATCCCCTCAGTTGATCACTTTTCTTACACCCGCCCCTCATCAGCCGATAACGCTGGCGTTGGCGGTTGCTCGCTTTCTGTTGAGCCCCCTGATCCTCGTCCATAAACCCGCCAAAACCCCTCGCGGTCGGCGAAAGCAGCTCTCAGCTCTTGTGGTGACGGCAGCGATCAGGCACCCTTTCTTGAAGCGGCTGCGGCCGGCCCTCAACAGGCGATGCCAGTCTGATATTTCTGACCCCTCATTTAGGCGATGGGCGCTTCATCACACAAGAGCAAGGGCAGCAATAGTCCGTCATGGGCCACCTCCTCCCCTCGCCACCATTGCGGTCCATCACATTTCCTAAGCTCGCCCCCGGGCCCCTCCTCTGGGCGACGGCGGTTGATCGCAGTTCTTGAATCCGCCCTCTGTTTTGGCGACGGCAGTGCACCGCTTTCTGAGAAAGCCGGCCCCTCGTTTTGGTGATGGGGGTTGAACACGCCATGTTCGAAACACCGATCGCCGATGCCTTCATTAGGTACAGGCTCAGGCAGTGGCGGCTATGATCACACATACCTCAGATCAGGCGATGGCGGAACTCGCGGCCTCGTGAGATGATGGCGGACTGCGATTGATCACGTTTCTCAAGCCAGAGTCCAGAGCCCTACTCCCGTACCGCTGCAATAGATCGCAGTTTTGAAATCCCGGCCCTCATCGGGCGATGTCGGTTGATCCCAGTTGATTTACGTTTCTTGACGCCAGCTCCTCATCAGAGGATGGCAGAAGCCATGCCATGCCACATCGCCTCGCATCACCTTCCTTCTGGCGATGGCTTCAACGGGTCTCGGGCCGAGAGCTGCCCGGCGGATCGCGTCGTGGCGAAGGCGAAGGCCGCGAAGGTTCCGAGCGGCTGTTGCGGGGATCGCCTTTCCGCCTTTCCGCGGACTCCGCGGACTGCGGGCGGAGCGGTTTGGTCGTATCCGGTTGGCCCGAGACTGCGGAGGACACTCGGAGCGGCGCGAGAGCGGCGAGAGCGATGCTTCGGTTTGGCCGAGCCTCAAAGCGCCCCGGCCGCAGGTCTTTGGGGGAAGCGATGAGCAGCAGCAGAAGCAGATCCAGGCAAGACGCCACGGCTTGTGTTGTTTAGAGTTTGGAAATCTACTAATACTCACACTACATGCGATGCAAGAGTAGGGCGAAGCGCGCAACGTTGACATTGAGACCTTAAGCCTTCTCAGTGATCAGGCAGCACGAGTGGCAGTCTTTGGCCGGGATTCCGTCTGCTTCTGAGACTTCCCAGCGCTGCAGACACTTTGCAGCGCTCCGCTGAGCGAGGCGGGTGCACCGTCTTGGAAGTCTGCCAAGGCCACGAAGCAGGCTCAGTGTCAGTGCCTGAATCAGAAAGCGTGCCAATGCCACCCAAAGCTCTACCTCTGCTTGGCACGTTGAGTAAGTTTGATTGTTCCAGAACTTATCAGTATTGCCTGTGAAAGTCTCGTTGTTTGTCCATAGTCACGCAGTCAGGATGGCCGCCTCGATCTCAGCGTCCTCAAAGCTTTAGATGCGCACAAAACACGTGAAGTTCAGATAACATCCGTGAAGGAGGCGGAGCTGATCTGGTTGGTGCTGTCGTCTTCGGCCAAGCAGGCGAGGAGCAACTGGCAGCTCATGCGCCAGATTCCCTATGTTTTTCGGCATGTTTCAGATGAAGACTCGTGAACAGAAATACAACGCGACGCGTGATTCAGCTTCTGTGAAGCGGAGAATGCGATGCAGAGCTGTGAATTGGCTTGTGTTCGGCATAGGGTTCACAGGAGTGAGCTATCAGCTACCCTCCCGTCACATCTTCGAGAGAGGAGTTCACAGATCTTTGCCCCCCATGCAACCCGCCTGAGACGTCGACAGCACTGCGCAGCGGCGCGGCATGGCCAGCTGTGCACTGCGCAGCTCGCGTCAGCAGCGCGCATTGCGCCGCCGCAGGCGCCGGGCCGCCGCCCGGCGGCTCGAGCACGGGCTCTCGAGATCTGTCTCTGTCTCTGGCCTCGCGCAGCTAAGCCCAAAGAAGAAGGGAGAAGGCGGTTGAGAGCGATTCGGAGATTCTTGCCTTAACGTGGTGAGGCAAGCGACGTGTCGATCCGCTGGGGACTTCGAAAGACTGGCATTTGCGAGTGCATACTTGTGTCGGCCCCAAAGGCTTCAGAAAGTTTACTGAGGAAGGTCTGCTTTGTTGACACTGCTGGCACGGGCCTCGATACTCAAAGCTCGAGAAGTTAGCCGACCCAGATGAGGCTTTTCCCAGTCTTCCATCTGCACAGCGTGTGCACAGTGAGGGCAAACGTCTGCAGAAATCCACGTTGACAAGGGGAAGAGGCCGAACGAAGATGCGAAGAGTCTTTCCCCCGTGGTTTTGATTCCGCCTCAGGGTTGGCACGCAATACAAGGATACCTCCGGCTCTGCTGGCTGCGTGGGCCTTGGTTTGCTTTTCCCCAAACTAGACTGCTATTGTTTATTTTATGGCAGATGGAGGCTGCAGCGAAAACCTGTGCACTTTGCAAGCGGGCTGGCATCCGGAAGCTCGGGACAGGCAAAGGGCGAGCGATTCGACCTCATGTTCTGTTTGGGCCAATGCACCTCAATCCCTTCTGCCGGGCCAGATGACATGAAGCACTGTGGCGGCTAGTGCTTCCTGCTGTGGGCAGTCAGTCGTACCCGGCAGTCAGGGGTGGACAGCATAGGGGCCGATGGGGCAGGCGGCCACAAGAAGCGAAGGGCAGACGACTCACGCGGTCTCTGCCAATGCTGGTATTAGAGTCAAATTAGAGTGCTTCTTGTTTCAGCTGCTTCTTCAAAGCCAAAGAGCCAACATCGGGAGTTGTCGCAGCTCACGAAGGGCAATGGAGACCTGCCCGCACAAGCCGAACTCTCACGTTCTCCGTCAGGTTGGTGAAAGCCGCTTCAGGCGCAGATGCGGCTGCCCAGTGCCATGGTGTTCTCCAATCATGTTTTGAATGTCAATGCATTGTCAATTGTCACTTTCCTGGAGGTTTTCACGAGCCAGCTTGCGCAATGAAATGTACGACTGACAAGGCGCCATGCTCTTGGCCGACGAGATGGGCAAGACTGTTCTGCCAGGTAGTGTATGGCCAGCTAACCCCACGGCAATCAGAGCCATTATGGGCTGAGCGCAAGGCGGGCAAGGATGGGCAAGGCATAGCTGCATAGCCATGCCGCACATGCCAGTCGATTGCGGATGCCTTGGCCATTGCAAGCCTCACGGGTCGGACCGAGTCGGACCTCGGTTGTAATCACCACCAGCTCACGGCCATCGCAGCGAGGCCAACATACTGCGGGAGTATCCAGGGCCCGGAACCCAGCAGTTCCAGCGACGTCGGGTGCAAACTGGTTCTGAGCGGAGTTTTGCGAAGTTGAAGTGTTGAGGCGGAAGCACTTGGGAGCACTAGGGATGCCGTTCATGCACCGGCCCTGGATGAGGAAGTCTTGTGGTCAGAAAAAGTATTTATGCGGCTTGCAGAGGGCGCAGCAAGCGGATATCTTCAGTGATGGCTCCCGGCGAACGGCTACCCCACCGCCTTCAGCATCTGGCAGCTTCCTGAGATGTGCCAAGCTTGGCCTCAGGGCCGAAGTCGTCGTGCTGGGGGTGTTCCGTCGTTTCGGTAAGTCAGTGTTGGGCTCTCGAGTCTTCAGCCTTCTCAATTCCCGTTCCATCTGTTCGATTATAGATGATGCTGAGCATTAGCATCCCGTCAGGCTTAGCCACATCAATGGGGCAAAACCGGTCTGTAGCTAGCTTGCCGGAGCCTTGGAAAGATCGTGCCGAATCGTGCTTCGTCGTCGAGACGCACTCTCTGCAGGTTTGAAGGTTCCGCAGGCAAGCCCACGGCGCTGGCAGCGACCCGACGGCTCTTAAAGCGGCTCCCAGCTTGCGGAGCTGAGCCGCTCAGCCGAGCGCCAAAACGTGGCCAATTGAGGAGTGGGACCAGCCGAGACCCACGCGGGCGCGAACGCCGCCCCCATCCCGGCGCTGCGCGGAGGCGGAGGGCCCTCCGGTCCCCGGCGGGAGGCCTGTGCGGTGCCGCATGTGCGGTGCCGCGGTGCCGCGCAGTGCCATGCAGCTGCAGCTGGGTCTTTTCTCTCGCAGCTCTCTCGGTTGGGCGGCTTTCGGCAGGATGAAAGGAGCGATTCCGATGCCGCTCACAGAGCGTCAGCATCCGCTCTACGGCCGCTCCAATGCAGCGGTCCTCAGAGCCGTGAGCACAGCAGACAGCAATAAAGGCTGCAGGGCAGATCGTAAGAGGAAGTTTGGAAGTTCAAGCTGCTTCGCACGCCTGGAAAACCACGCTCTTGATCATGCTTCCATGGTGATGTCAGGTCGCATGCCTTCTCGGAGAAGCCTGAAACGAGCCCTTGGCTCACTTGGCGCCATTCGAAGCTTCGTCCGCTGGTCCTGCATGGTCTTGCTAGTCTTGCATGCTGTTGCACATTGCAGAGGTGCCGTGTGCGGCACATTTCACGGGCCCCGTAGATGCAAGGGTTCCAGCTAAGCAGCTGCTAGTTGTTTCTTTGCTTCACACCCCTTCTGGCCCCGGAACCAGAGCAGTCAGGACGTTTGCTTAAAGCATATCTCGAAGACCGACTCAGCTAGGGGAAACGTGCACTACTTTTTCACACATTGGTTTTTGTCTTGTGACAACTGGTAGGGTACGGCGGGTATGGTGCAGCTGGATCGTGAACGGGTGATGCTGAGACGGTGCAGTCTGCAACTTTTCCCTCCTGCAGGGATGGATGCGTGTTAATGCACTTCCGCAGAACTGCGCCGGATCAGAAAAGGGGCGGTATTTTGGACTATTTTGGACATGGTCGTGACAGTCCGAGCACCTCGCTATGCCGCTATGCCATTTGCAGCGTAGCGGCGTAGTGACACAGCTGCGCGGCGCAGCGCGGCTGCTGGAGCTGAAGGCTTGGGTCTGTTGCCTTGCCAAGCTTTGATCCGGACACATGTTGCAAGGCATCATGCCCGAGACAATGCAGGGGACCGGTGAATGAGTTGCAGTGTGCAGTGCCGCGAAGTCTGGCGACGGAACCACGACCAACGGCCTGCTCCTCAGAGCTGGGACAAGTGTTGGCTGCGCGATGGAAGTGCAGGGGGGGGTGTCTGTGGGGTGCAGGTTGGCATCAAGATGACGGGCACCTTCCAATGTTCGGGGCTTGACTCAGAGGACACACATAGACGGATAGACGTACACGTGAGAAAAAGACTCGGTGCAGAGTGGCGAGGCCCAGAGTGCCGACAGAAGTTTGACTCCGAGAAGGCCGTTTCGTTGAGAGTCGTGCAGTGGAGACTTTCGTCAGTCTCGACGACGCCTCGATGCCTGCCTCTGGAACGGTCAGGCGAAGCAGCTGCACTGGAAGTTCATTCATGATCCCAACAGGAGCGCTGTTGCATGTTTCCGACTCCTTGCAGGCATCAGGAGGACTGAGAGGAAGCTGAGGACTCTTAGGGCCGAGGCGGTCACGGAGCAGCGCTCCGCCGCTTTCGGTTTCGCTTGGGGGTTCGCCCCTCTTGTTTAAAGGGAAGTCTTCTTCCCTACACGCTCCTCGACGTCGACGGTATGGCCATCCCGGGCTCTTGAATCCAGCGTTGCCGTGGATTCGTTGATGGTCACTTAGGGCTAGGGCGGCTAGGGTGCCGGCCTCGTTGCACTCTCAGAGAGCGGAAGCGACTGGTCAAAAAAGTTGAAGATCTTGCAGCAGAGGCTTTAGCAGCAGTCCAGGGGATTGTGCTGTGCGGCTATGATCTCCTGGGATTTTACCTTGCAACGCTGGAATCGACTCACGCGCCAAAGGTAGGGCTAGGTCTTGAAGCTGGGCAGGAGCAACGGCTCCAGTTGCGCACTGACGAGCATGATTTGGCGAGATAACTGTTAAACATGTCAGTGTTGGATTAGAGACGGTCAGTCTTATGACAAGAATCAACCTGTCAGGGGTGGAAAATCAACACCAGACTGAGCTCCTTTTTGAGCTGCCCGTGCCATGGAATATGGATAGTTTCCACGCAGGCCGTGCGTGGACGTGGCCACGGTGGCCATGGCGGGCTGCATTTCCATCCTTCCAGCAAACACTGCCACAGGGCTGGCAAGCCGCCCCTGCCCGGCCTGTTTTGACCAGTTCGCCGGCAGCGGCTGCGCTGAGACCTCAGTCACCGTCCTCCATCCGAACACCTCCGCCCAAGCATAAAGTGACAGCGCCTCTTAGTGCCAAGAAAGAGGAGAATCCCAAGAAGAGGAAGCGCGTGGATGCAGTTGTGGGTTTCAACTTGGACCAACCCGAGAAGACTTCAGCAGCGATCGTGTGCGACTTCATGCAGCCACATTCTCAGTTTTACGACCTTTGCTTGTGCATCGGTTTCGACATGAAGTGCAGTGCGCGCAGTCTCTTCCGTTCTCTCGCTCAGGCGACTCAACCACACAAAGCCTGGTGAAGATCGTGGTGTGAAGTTCGAAACGTTGATCGTAGAAAACGGGTGGCAATCAACCGTTACATGTACTGCAAACAGTGCAGCCTGCGAGACCGCATCTGTGTGGAGCGGCCGAGGCTTCCAGGGTGAGGCACATCTCTCTCCAAATTCTTCAGACAAAAATTAGTGGGGAACATGGCCTAAGCCACCAAGCAGAACTAATTTTTTGATGTTTGATGTTGTGAGCAGGTGAAGTCGGATGAACTGAGTGCGAAAAACTCCGCAGCTGATGCCTTCCGGGACGATCCTGATGTTCGATCGACTGCTTGGCAACTTGAGCCATCCAAGCGTGTGGTTTGGCTGAACGAGCAGCGCAAACAGCACAAGCGTGCCATGCGCTCGGGGAGCGCCGGTTCGGCAAAGCCAGGCTGACACTCCACCTAGCCTCTTCGCCAGGCGAACTCTGTTTACCTTGAGGGCGGCTGGCAGGAACATCGATTTCAATGCTCAGCTTGTACTACAAATCAGTGGGAACGTCGATTCCAGAACTGAGCCTGTTCTAGAAATCGATTCCAATACCAAGCTTGTACTAGTGTCATAGACTAGTGTTTTTGAGGGAACACGGTAATCCAGATCACGATGCTGAGATTTGGCGTATACCGTATACGAATGTTAACGGGGTCTTCACACAAACCCTGCACATTGCTCTCAAGCAGGGTTTATTCAACCATCTCACTGCCCCAGTGTCCCAGAATTCTGATTGGTCAGGCCTGCTAGCACGGTGAGTTTGCAAACTCGCGCCCAATACAAGTTCCTGGCTCAAGGGTTTTCAGCCCCTTACAGTCAAGCTGCTCTGGCTTGCGTGCTAGAGTTTGCAGGCAGGGTGCGGCCATGCACGACTCGTAGAGCAGCACATTTATTGCTGCTTGCCGCCAGGAGGGCTGCACGGCAGGCAGTTGCCACCTCCAACAATATGCGGTTGCCCAAGCCCGTCACTTCGGTGGCGGTCAAGTTCATTGGCAGCCATTGGTTGTAATGCTTTACTAATGCCTGACGATTGGTTGCTGGAAAGTTGTTAACATGCTTGTCCTGAGGTTTGTTGGGGAGGGATCTGTCTACACCTTTCCTCCGATACCTCTTTGCTTGTCCTTTTTCGGGCTTCGCTTCGATAGCATCCAGGCGAGTTGGCGGCACCGCCTTCCGTGTTGGTTTTGCGGAGATGAACGGATGGCGACCCAGCATGGAGGATGCCCACCTCATCTATACTCAAGATACCTGGGGCTGCTTCGGAGTCTTCGATGGTCACGGTGGTGATGAATGCTCTGGCTTCATAGCCAGACGCTTCAACGAAGAGTTGGACAAAACTGGCATGCCAGAAAGTCATGAAGCGGTTACAGAACTGGTCGGCAGCCTAGCCTTGCTCCACAGTGTTCGTATTCCAAAAAGCTTGACAGATAACCCCCCTGTGTTCACTCGGTGGCAGAGTGTCCTGGACAGGCATTCCGCTTAGACGAGGAGTTTTTGAATTCCAACCAGCCCAGTGGATCCACAGGAACATTTGTCTTTGTGCAAGCGCCAAGCGCACCTGGAGGCATCTTGGCTGACTGAGGCTTGCACTGCTGTCCTAAACATGCCCGTGACGCAATGTGTCCAGAGAAGAGGGGACTCATGCACGGCTGAACACAGACTCAGGCCGTTATCATCTTCGAGTGGGCAACATTGGCGATAGCCGCATACTCCTGGGCCGGGCTGATGGTTCACTCGTCCGCGGGGGTGGATCTGACGGCGCTCTCACCAAGGACACGTCAAGCTTGCACACGCAGAGAAGTCTATAGTCGGAATAGTTGCGTGGTGAGGACCACAAGCCGGAAGCTGAAGAAGAGCGGATCAGGAGGTCTGGAGGGAACGTGCAGGAACTTGGCTTGGATATGCAAAAATGAGCTACAAGGTAGCCTGTCTTCGGTGTGCAATGGCGGCTTAAGCGAGGTAATGGGGGCCACGTGCCGCCTGAATGGATGTCTGGCAGTGAGCCGTGCATTCGGTGACAAAGAGCACAAGAATGCCGGCTTGAGTTGTGCTCCCGACCTGCAGGCGTGGTGCTGTACGGTGGTGCATATTAGTACCGATCCTCCCCAGATCTGAGCGTGGCTGGCAGGAGCTTGATTGTGATCCAAATCATTTTCTTGTTTTGGTTTGCGATGGGATCTCGGAAGGCTCGGACTTCAATTCACACCTTCCGCTGCTTGAGCTTGGACATGGCGATGAGCATGAGTGTCAGGCGGATTCGCGCCCGATGCCGTCGTCAAATTGGCAGCTGAAAAGCTGCGAGCGACCCCTGGTGATCCAGCTCAGGCCACGCGGTGGACATGGTTGGAGTCACGGCAAGAGCAAGCCATCAGGCTTGTACCTTGTTGTGGCAAGTAGAGCTGGGAGGCCGCGATTGCCGTTTGCGACGAGGCAGATGTTAGTGAAGAGACTTCCCTTCCTGCACTTTGCAGTTGCCCCTTCAAATCCTTCGGATCGTGCAGGCCATAAAAAGTGGATCCACAGACAATCTTTCTTGCATGATCGTGCTCCTGGGCGGTGGTGAGGTCCCAGCCCTATGGTCCGTCCAGGTAGCCCAGTCTTCACTGGCAGACGCATTCGGATTAGGTGCCTGGTGAGCATGCGGACTTCATTCCTGGTCCGTTTGGAGCGCCTGAAAGCGCTGCTTTTAAGAAGGCCAGCCTTCGGTGGTCGTTTGTGAATTTGTGGTTCACCTTCATGTATGCATGCAGCCTTCTCCTCTTCACTCTTCTCCTCTGTGCAGTCCTTACCGAGTGCACGCGTGACTGGCCTCATGCCTCATGCTATGCCTGCGTCTTTGTGTGTGGGACCTGGATTATTTTGTATTATTCTTTCTGTTCAGTCATGTTTTATTCCGGGAGGGGCGTCGCACAGGAGCCAGACATGTCTCTCAGAAAGCGGTCGCTTGTTCACGTTGCTGCGTTTGCGTTTAATGAGCTTCTCAGCCGGAGGGCGAAGCGAATTAAGGAAAGGAGTAGCAGGAGAAAAGGAGTAAAGGAGGAAATGGCGAGAAACTGGAAAAGTCAACACCCACAGAGCAGATGTCGAAATGTTGAGAAGCACGAACCAAAATGCAATAACAAACAGCTTCACCTTTCTACAATGAAGTCTTTCTCTGATCTTGTGGCGTTTGCCAGGCTTACGCATCCATGGCCGAGCGTTCTGGATTTACTCTGGAGCGAGCGCTGAAGAAGCGTGCTGAGGCTTGGACTCGGTTGTTTTGTCCCTTTTGGGGTCAAGCACCTGCATTGGTAGGGACCGGTTGGGAAGCCTGAGACTACCCTGTTAGATACGCAAGCCACTTCTGATTAGTTGTCGAGCTGTTCACAGTCTGAGCTCTTGGCACTCGGGACAAACACTGACGCTGTAAACCAGAAGTCCAAAAAACGGGCACGGTGGCCAACACAGTATGGGCTTGGATCTGTTCCATGTGGCTTCACACTGCCACGGTGCAAATGTCGACTTTTTCTATGACTTGGGGCCAATCTGGCAATGCAAGCCTCCTTCGCCAGGATGCCGCGTTGCTGAAGCGACGCCTGCTGGGCCAGAAGCCCAAAACGTCAGCCAGACCGGTCTGGCGGCGGCGCGATGCGGTCGGAAGGCGTCGAGAGACTGTCGCACTGACCCTACCCCGTTGTCCACTCAGAGTATAGAGTCAGGTGTTCGCTTCGGCTCCCGGCAATGGTCGTGGTCAAAACACATAAGGTCATAAAGTCGAATTTGGAACCAAAGCCCCGCCAAGCCTTGACAGCACCACAAGGCTTCTCGACATGCTGGTTGTAATTTGACCCATCTCATCACGCTTTAGGACATGGCGCGCATAAGTGATTGAACTTGGGATGCTGTGTGTTTTTGTTGTTCTTGGTTGCTTTAATTGTCTCGTCGTTTCTGCCCATGGTTATTTCGGAAAAACGACCCCTCACCACCTAGTAGTGACTAGTGTTGTAGTATAGCCACCTGGTGTGCCTAGGCTAGTGCGCATAGCTCTTTGCACAATAATGTATGTTTCACCTAGCGAATGCTGGCGGTATTCGTGTCACAACACGAAAAGAGTGCTTGCCTATGCAGTTAACTCTGAAATTGTGTCGTGCTCGTTTAACTTGGTCTTGCTGTTTTTTGAGGGAGGTGGGATTTGCCCCTCTGGTTGCCAAGACCCAGCCTGCAGGAACCCCCCGACCCATGGTCCAAAGGGACATGAGCTAAGACCCGGCCTGAAAAGGAGCTGCAGACGTGGAGCATGGCTGGCAGAGCATTTCGTACGCGAGGTTCGTTCGGAGCAGCTCCAAAGCACGGTCATAGCCTTGAGTATTGGTGCGCGGATGCGAGTTGCTCGTAAGACCATTCTCGATCACAGCTTAAAATCATAGGGAAGCTCCACTTTTTGCGTGCCGAGATGCGTTTCGCGCGCGAGAGCGTAGTCGATCGCAGTCTCGATAACCCTCCAGTAGTGACGTGCACGGACACACGTTTCGTATGAGTGGGTCGCCGGCCCCATGCAAACAAGAAGTACCCCCTAAACCATTTTCCTCCGAGGCAATGACCATCAAGTGGGCACCTCGGAGGGAGCTCTTTGGAGCCGATCTCTGAACGGGCTGACATGGTGCGGGCACTAGGGTTGGGTAGGGCGGGTAGGGTGTGTGTGCGTGGTTTGAACCTTCCGAGCCTAACTCCAGAACCCCCAAACTCAAACATTGCATCCCAAGACTCTCAACCTTAAACCGTTTCAACCCCATAACTCGACACCACCCAAAGCCGCAAAACCCCCCAAACCCTCAATCCCCTAAATTCTGAAATTCCACCCCTGAGCCCAGGCCTCGAGTTCCAAGTCGTGGCGTCCTTGGTGTCAAGCTCACGATCTGTCAACGGGGACGACATGCGCACCGGCTCACGCTCAGGCGCATCTGGACACCGCAGGTGGCTGCAGCGAGTCAGTGTATATCAGGGTGTTCAGGTTCTCCACAAGTTTCCGAGACGTCGTGCGCAACACATGCAAAGGATTGCAACAGAAGCCTGAAAACCATTGTAGGTTCGAAATGAGTGATGTAAGAAATGAAGGTGGCAGGCTTTCCGGAGCCAATCTCCTCTTCCACAGTTGGGTGCCGGGCCCTTTGGGCATCGGGCATCTTATCACGAAGTGGTGCAGACCTGAGAGATGCTCGGAGGCCCAACCCTCTTGGAGAGCCTTCGGCACTTCTCAGGCCGCCCGAATATCCAAAATGTCAGGGCCCTGCCGCCCTGCCCCCACCATGGGTGTTCGCTCGTGGTGGGGACTGGGGACTCAGTCACGTCGATTATGCCGAGTATGCATTCAATTGAACATGGAAACACTGTTGCATGTTACAGGTCATGACTCCTGGCGTGTTTCTTGTTCAGCTGCATGACATACCGAGGCCACCTGCCGACGAAATGTGCTTACAGAAGGCCCGGCGGCCCAGCATACTCTATCCGCAGTAGTCCTTTGGCTGACAATCTGGCAATCTGCCAAAGTTTTGGTGTGTGTGTGTGTGTGTGTGAGTGAGTGAGTGAGTGAGTGAGTGAGTGAGTGAGTCCTTTCACACCACGTGCAGGAAACTATATCAACAAAAACCACAGAGACTAATCGACTCCCCTAACATTACACGAAAGCCAGCCTGCCCTAATTTTTAAGATAGGTAGGAGGCCATATTAGGATGCACCCCCCCATCATTTTGACAACTAGGCCTTGAATTTCGGGTTTCTACATCAGGGTCATGTTATATTTTGGGGAAGGGAATATATTTGCACCAGTCCGTCTGGCCCGTTGTGTTTTTACACATGCCAGGGGGGCGGGCATAATTCATGATCTGGTGGGGTTTGGGTCCTTCTACTTTTGTGTGTAGCTGTTTCTGGTAGTTATGTGCATAATATATTTTGTACCTGACATGCATAATCGCCATCAGTTGCCTTTGCCAGGTGTGCCAGCTACCAGAAAGGCAACTTGCGGTGCCTATGATAAGTTCAATTTGCACTACTTTTCCAAAGTGCGATGGCGCAGGTGGGGCATCGCACGGCCGCGTTCCAAGCCGAAGCGCAGCAACGCACATCGCTGCGTGTGGCCCGTTTGGCTGAGGTCGCATGGCCCAACCCGCTGCGTCCTGCCCGGGTCCTTACTGGAAAGCCGCAGAGACTGGAAACAGACTGCCAGAGAGCACTTGAGAGCTGGACCCCAGTGGCGAATGGCGATGGAGCAGTGCGAGACCGGACATAACCCTCGCAAATGTTTACATCGATCTTTTTGATTGTGCCGATGTCATAATTGATCGGGACGAGACGTGCTCTTATCCTGGTGGACGACTGCAGGTTCCAGAACTGCGCCCCAATCAGCAGGCTGCAGTTTGAGTGCTTCCGTTCTCGCTCACCGAAGATGCGTCGGAAGTGAGCCGACCAGCCAGGCGCGCTATGTCGTTCGCCCTGCGGTGTCCGGTCCTTAGCCTTGACTGCAGAGAAGTGGCAAACGTTCGTAGACGCACAGTAACATCGCAGGGTGGGCAGCAGAGTGGTGGGCGCGATCCCCGTCCAAGCTCCCCGGCGAGTTCCAGCAGGCGAGCCCTGAAACCTCCCGAAAGGCAAAAACCCCGAAACCCTAAACACCTAAATCCCGAAGCATACCCATACCCAGAACCGCAGAATCCCAGAAGCCTAAACAGCCAGACCCAAGAACGTCTAAACACTTAGGCACAGAAACATTTCCAAAACCCAGAAACGCAGAAACCCAAAAGCCTCAAACGTCTATATAAGCCCAGAAACCGCCAACCCAGAAACCTAAACTCAGCTTGGAGCATTGTCTTGGATTCGTCACTCTCTACCTCCATAGAGGGTTGCCACGGCTTCGTAAGAAATGCGAGCTGAGGGAAGCCAAAGTGAAACCGAAAAAAAATTGTCCAGGCCGGAAGAACCCAAACGAATGGAAACCTGGCCGGAACCGACAGGGGAGAGACACCGACCCAAAGCCGACAACCCAAGATGAGACTTTCGAAATCTTTCGAAGCAAAACAATTCCACCCCAACCCAAACCGAACTCAGCCCGAGTCGCATCGAGAAGAAACTGATGAATCCGTGTGCAAAACGAAAATTAGGCTTTCCAGGCTCCTCCCAGGCTCCAAAGGGCGAAGTGGGACAATTGGGAGGCGAGATTATGCCGGGGCGTGGCCCGGGACGAGGGTTCAAAATGACCCTGCGCATGCCTGGATTTTGAACCCATGGTTTGGGGTCTAAAATCCGGCCCGGCATAGACCCAACAGTACCTGAGGGCTTGTAATAGTAGTAGTAGTAGTAGTAGTAGTAGTAGTAGTAGTAGCAGTAGCAGTAGCAGTAGCAGTAGCAGTAGCAGTAGCAGTAGTAGTAGTAGTAGTAGTAGTAGTAGTAGTAGTAGCAGTAGCAGTAGCAGTAGCAGTAGCAGCAGCAGCAGTAGCAGTAGCAGTAGCAGTAGCAGTAGCAGTAGCAGTAGCAGTAGCAGTAGCAGTAGCAGTAGCAGTAGCATTCATTCTCCACGCAGCGAAAGATCGAGTTCGCCTAGCGAGCTGACGACATCCAGATATTCTGAACGCCGGAACCTCGTGTGGGTTCTGGAGGGCAGTGCCAGCTCCATCCGCTAAACTACACCTGCTCAAAGCATCAGGCATCTGGTACAGGTACCTGACGCATCCACACAATATAAATTGGCCCATCATGTTCTGTCCCAACTGGCTTGGCACTGCAGGCATCATCCGTGATCCACGATTTTGCCCCGCCGAATAATGGCTGCCCCCGTAGTACGGTTCTATAATGCCCCGAGTCAGGAGTAGCTCCGTAGTGCAGCTGCACAGCAACGACCTGATAGAAGGCATACCAAACTCGCATCATTCCCACCCCTGTGAATACAGGCAGTCGAACCGTACTCGAGGTCAGAGCCATGGGCCTCACATCTCAGTGCTGGAGTTGAACACAGAGAAGCGGGGGTGGGGCCAATAGGGCATACCGTGCCGTAACCTGAGCACTCCACCCATACCCATCAATGGCCACCTGAAGATCAAAGCTTGGACCTGTGGGCGGCACAACAGCGATCGGAGCATGGGTGGGCCCCGAGTCAAGCTTGACAACGCCTCTCGGTGCGAAATTTCTGGCCTCCCAGCCACCATTGAACCCACAATGCGAAAGCCTTGGCAGAAGATACAGAATCAGCTCCGCGGCATCATGTTGCCGCTGCACAAATGGCCAGGCTTGCAGCAGCATAAGCCACGGTACCGAATGAAGCACCTGGATGGATTGAGCGGGTGAACGGGCTGCAGGTGGGCACAGCATGGTGAGGGCCTGCGGTGGAGGTGGAAGACGCGCGTCATGAAGTCTGGCCTGGAGGATTGTCCACTGGACCGCATAAATGGTAGAATGTAGATAGCACAAGTTAGACGGATTGTGAAATATCAATCCAAGCATGGCTTTGAGACTGGGCCGCACACTCAAGTCTGCAGGTGATGCTGCCAAACCTCCTGGACCAGGGTGTCGTAGTTCGGTCGATCCCGGCGTAGCCGGCATCCTAGCGTGTGCCACGACGCTTGCCGGATCCATTGATTCAGCGTGCTCCACATCGCCCCTCCCTCTGGACGGAGGGACAGGCAAATCTGAAATTGAATCCAGTCGGAGGTCACTTCCGTGGTGAGCTTCTTCATCGACTTGAATCGGACCAAGGTCTCCTCCGTAACAGCCTTCCGCATCTGCACCAGCTGAGCCAGCAGATCCTCCGCTGGAATGGGCCGCAACGAGTTGTCTATCTCCAGACACTGCTGTGACGGATTCCAAATGAGGTGCCACCAATGTTTGTGCTCGTCGATCCAGTTCAATGCTTTGGCTTTGGTCAGAGCCTCCTCGTCCGCAATCATATTGGTCAATCTCTGATGTAGCGAGATCAGCAAATGCTTGAACATGGCCAGCTTCAAGGAAAAGCTGATCTTCTCCGGTTCCTCTTCCTTCATTTTCCTCTCCGCTGCATCGCGTAAGACGGCACCATCCCCTCCGCTCCGGAGCGAACGAAGAGGTAGAGGACCATGTCCTGGCGAATTGCTGAGATGATTTGCTCCTGACGCAGAACGAGTTGCGTCAGGCGATTCATTCGGTGCTCCATCCAATCCGGATCCTGTCCATCCGGATACTGGAGATCCTGGGTTTGCGCCCAGGGATTGGGAGGATGACTTCCAAAACCACCTGTGTAGCCCATGCCCTGTGGAGCACGTACCGAGCTTGGTGGACCCGGCTTGCCCTTTCCTTTGCCCTTGGAACCCTTGCCCCGGCCTTTGTTCCGATCCTGCGGACCCAGTCGCTGGCCTGGCGCTTGGATTGCTCTGATGATAGAGCCGCCTCCTGATGCGACGCCGGCTCCCTCTTGACCGGACCGGCCTGGGCCCAAAACTGCCGCTCCTGCTCGTCCAGCTCCATGGGATCCGCTGCCAGCGTCATGATAAACTGCTAGAAAAGAACATATATGCAGAACATGACACTGTTTCCAATGTCGATCCTTGTTGATGTTTCGTTGGTGGCAATATCGACATGGGACCACAGTGTGCCTACGGAATCCTGTCAGGAGCTTGAGAGTCGCAGGTTGACAGTCCTCCCACTCCGGATGCTGCATGGTAAGGTGGTACTTAATGCTAGTAGGGGTAGCTAGCCATTGATAACACAGCGGGCAATGGTGCTGAAGATATGTTTGGATCTCCGTCAGCTCGAGGAGATCAGTCCACCTTCGGAGGCGAAGCGTATCAAGCACAATGGGTCGAAGCATGAGTGGAACGGTCGCCTGTGGTAGCTCCGAAGAGTTCACTCTAGCAGAATCCTCCGCAGCAGGGAGTATGGGCACGCCACCTTGAGGAGCATCTGCCGTGGTCGATGGGGCCTCTGGAGGAGAAGTAACCGCAGGAGCCAACACGGTATCAGAAGTTCGCGTCGCGAGTTGTCGAAGAACCTGGCACCGATTGCGCTTGCTTGATATGCTTAACCAACCCGTCCCATTGACGGACCGGGTGTGCACAGTGCCTGCATGTAGGCAACCCGTCGGTGCCATGGGCGTACCTATCGAAGGGCACCGGTGCGGCAGCTGGTGTTTTAAGTCCATGCCGCTTGGCCTCATAAGAGCGCAACAGCCGGAAAGATGTGAAAACTCGGTGGCATTCCTGACACTGATACGCTGCGGGGTCAGCAGTTTCCGCGCCAGCATTCACGGGTGCCTGCCACTGTCGCTGAACGTGTAGATGGAACGTAGCATCAATTTCCCGAGCCGACTCCACCTGTGCCACATCTACAAAACTCGTCTGTGTGCGCAGGCACTGCAAGCTGCGATGCAAGGCTGTGGCTTCTTGTTGTAACTGCCCGAGGACGGTTTGAAGGGAGCTTCTGTGCAAAAGATCGCGCGTGGATTCTTTCTGAAGATGGGCGAAAGACCAAGTAATGGCGCGCACATGCTGGGTCATCATGTGTTGCATGCGCAGAACGTCTTTGGTGCCTGGGTTGGACGCAGCAATGCCATAAAGCATCGTAGGGAGCACAGTGGTGCTCCATAAGCTGATTCGATGCTTCTGTGCCAGATGCCGGGTGGAGCACAAGACTCCCCGACGCCTTTGCCATGCTTGGTTCGCGGCCTGCAGTCTGTGTGTGACTGCTTGTTTGGCTTGGGAGTGATACGAAATGCGGATTCCTAGGTACGTATGCTGTTCCCGTAGCGGCATTTCATACACCTGACCCGAGGGACTACGAAAACGCAGCAGGTCACCCTCTGGTGTGTGCTTGATGTGTCTCCGCAGCCAGCCCTTGATGAAGCTGCCTCTATGTCGCAGCAAGAGGGCAGATTTGGCTGAGTTGATGACCATACCGTGTGCGGCAAGTGCATCCAGAACCTTGCTGAATCGATACACCATGTGGTCAAGCTCACGGGTACTCTGCATAGTGTCCTTGAGATGTATATCGTCCGCATAAATCGTAGAGTTCTGCTCTAGCCAGGGGGCCTGAGGAGTGGGTCTCCCTCTTCAAGAAGTTCTCGATATATCTGTGCCTCCAGAGCAACGGAGCAAGTTTACATCCCTGTCTGAGGCCCCGTTGGGCCTCAACCTTGGCAGTGTGGCCAAGATGTGTAAGGATGTAGGAGATCTCGGAGTGCCAGGACATGATTTGGTGTCGCAATTCGGCAGGCACGCCCGATGCAAGGAGGGCCTTGTCCAGCAGACGCCAATCCATAAGGTCAAAGGAAGGCGCTGGACAGGTCCAGCGATAATTGCGCGCCTGCGAAATGAGGGCACGGTTTCGGTTGTTGCGCGTGACGATCGACTACTGTGGGTGTTGAAAACGAACAGCGGTTCTGCACAAGCTGACAATGGGTGGCAACCCGATGTATGGCTTGAGCAGCATTGCGCCCTGGCAAATATGCAAATTGAGCCTGATCCGCCAGAAACCGCTCTGCAAAGGGTCGCAATTGCGCCTGTAGTATAGAGGCGTACGCGCGGCCGCTGGATTCCGTTAACCCTATCGGTCTTAGATTCTTTGGTGACAACGGTCGTGGAATCTTAGGGATGAGAGTCAACCA